GCAAAGTAAAAAGTCATGGAACTCTCTTAAGAGAGTTGATACATTTGCTCTTTGGGGATTTGATCCTAATTCATTTAAGGCCTTGAGTTCTTTGCAAGTATTAGTCTTCAATGGCATATATTCTTTACTGCTATAATTGATTTGCATGGAAATGCAAAAAAAGATTAAGGTTCAACACAAATAGCAAAATGTTAGACCCAATGTGCTCAGTAACTAGATTTTTTTAGGTTCTGCTGGTTGTACTTATCTTTGGGTTGTTTGGATCTGATGGTCAGCCATGCAGAACAGCAACACAGTCATTGCCATGAAGTAAGGTACTGCTAACGGCCTTTCAGGCTCATAGATCTTATCAGAGAATATGGTGTGCAGTCTTCTCTTGGAGTAGATTGCAGTCGGTAATTTCTTCACGTGATTACAAGATTGCAAGATAGATTTTTAAGAAAGAGTGAAGATGAATTTATCTTGAATATATCTTTTTATCAAACCAAATGGGGTATAGAAATAAATCATTTTAATAATAAAAACATTGTTTAGGTTTGTTGTGATTTAACCCCAGCCAGCAACTAAGCACCACACGGCCGCTCGCTCACTCCTCCCCCCAGTGGGATGGGGGAGAGAATCAGAACAGTAAAAGTGAGAACACTTATGGATTGAGACAAGAACAGTTTAATAATTGAAATGAAATATAATAATAATAATAAAAAGAAGAAGAAGAAGTAATAAAAAGGAAAATAACAAAAAGAGAGAGTAGTAAAACCCAAGAAAGACAAATGATGCAAATACCCCTGGCGCCCAGCCAGTCCTCGAGCAGCAGGCCCCCGGCCAGCTTTCCCCTCGTTTATATACTGAGCATGGCATCGTATGGTGTGGAGTATCCCTTTGGCCAGTTTGGGTTAGCTGTCCTGGCTGTGCCACCTCCCAGCTTCTTGTGCATCTTGTGCCTCTTGTGCCTTCTCTGTCGGTAGAGCATGAGAAGCTGAAAAGGCCTTGACTCCGTGTAAGCACTGCTTGGCAACAACTAAAACATCAGTGTGTTCTCAACATTATTCTCATACTAAATCCAAAACACAGCACTGTCCCAGCTGCTAGGAGAAAAATTAACTCTATCCCAGCTGAAACCAGGACAAGGTTGTTAGTGTCAGGGATTTGTTTTTAAAATGCATTGTTTTATTAAAGCTAAAGGAATATTCTTATGTTAACTCTGTTTTAGGCATCCATTTCTCTCGCTCCTGTGAACATTTTCAAGGCAGGTGCAGATGAAGAAAAGGCAGAAACAGCTCGATTGGTAAGTTTTATTCTCTAAGAAACTGGTGATACTTGGGGTAATTAAACTTTGTCTTTTCTACTGTTAAATGTATTTTCAGTTTATGGTGATGTGGAACTTCCTCCGTCTCTTACTGGTTTTTCTTGTTGCATGTCTGAACAGAAGGTAGGAGGAGTGTTGTTTATACTAACGATTAGAGAAACTCCTCATAATTGTTCAAAACCAAAGTAACTCTGTAACTTAGCTCAGAAGATTGGTGTTCATTGGGAGGCATTTCTTTTGGCCGTGAGACAGGCTTTTATGGTTTCTGTGAGAATTAAGTATATTTGATCTGGTTATCAAAATGTAGCCGTTAAGAAACTTGGATCCAGACTCTGCTGAAAGAAGTGTGGCTGTGGAAGGGCTGGGTTAAGAAGTCCTCTTGGAAGTTATGGGCTAGCGTATAATTCTTGTATTAAAGTAGAAATAAATAATTCTCTAAGGTCTATTTGCTTTCATTTCAGTCATCCTTTGTTGGTGCCATTGCTATTGGTGACCTGGTCAAGAGCACTCTGGGGCCTAAAGGCATGGTAAGACAGCTGCAAGTTCTCAGTGGTCATACCTGTTAATTTAGTTTTAATAGTTACAGTACGTTTTCAAGCAGTATTCTGAATCTTGCATCTTATAGGACAAGATTCTTTTAAGTACTGGGAGAGATAGCACGGTAACAGTGACTAATGATGGTGCTACCATCCTGAAAGCTATTGGAGTTGACAACCCAGCTGCCAAGGTCTTGGTTGGTGAGTTTTTAACAGCTTGTTGTTGCAGTACTTGGCATTGCTTCATTTGTAACTTTATTATGTAGTTTTTATTTGTTCTTAGAAAAGTATTCTTCAAATAATGTGCAAAACTGAAGGGAGGGAGAGCAGAATTCCTGAAGTAAGGAGGCCAAGGTGTTGCAAGAGTTGTGGAACTCTGCAAAAGTAAAATTGAGGTTATGCTGCTCTTGCAAAACTGTTCTGGTGTCTCCTTGTTTTCCCTCAACCCTGGTTTGTCCCAGGAGTCAGAAGGGACAAAAGACAGCTGTGTGCCCCTCCTTTTTCACCGGGAAAATTCGGAACAGAAATCTGCTGGGGTACAGAGGTTCTCTCTGGTTCTCCCTGATTTAAATCTTTTTTTGTCACTTAATCAACGTTGTACTCTGGACGGCTTTTACCTTTGTGATCAACTGTCTTAGTGTGCAGATGGTCAGTTCTAGTGACAAGCAGAACCCTGAACAATTTGGTGTCAAGATTCTTAATGATTTCGTGTTTGCTGGGTCCTCGTTTATCAGCAGTTCATGTGGCATACTTGGTTATTATACTCTCTGGTCCTGTATGCATACCTTAGAGCTTCTATCCGGCCCTACTTCCTTTTGATGACCATCTTTAGGAATAGGGAGAGAGGGGAGTAGCTCTTGACCATTGCCAGGCTGGAACTGGTATCTAGGTTGCAAATAAAGAGCAGGAATTTGAAGGATGCTGAATTTGATTTGCATCTCAGGTTTTTCTGTGACTTACTGTCCTGGTTCCGGCTGGGACAGAGTTAACTTTCTTCCCAGTAGCTTGGGGGGTGTGCTGTGTTTTGGGTTTGGTATGAAAGGAGCGTTGATGGCCCATTGATGCTTTGGCTGTTGCTGGGTGGTGCTTGCACCGGGGTGGGGGGAGCACAGCCGGGGTGGTGGACCCAGCTGGCCAATGGGGTATTCTATACCATGTAACATCATGCTCAGTATAAAAACCAGGTGTGTGGGGGGGCTTGCCCCCCGTTTGTGCGATGCGGTTGGTGAGCAGTTGCATTGTGCATTGCCTGCTTTGTATATTCTGTTATTGTTGTTGTTCTCATTGTTACTGTTACTATTCTACTTTGTTTTATTTCGATTATTAAACTGTTTTTATCTCAACCCGGGAGTTTTCCTACTTGTGCCCTCCCAATTCTGTCCCACATCCCACCGGAGGCGGGGGGGTGGGCGAGCGGCTGCGTGGGGTTTATTTGCCGGCTGGGGTTAAACCACGACACTTACAGAGTGACCTCTTTAAACTATCGAAGAGTTAAGATTCTTTTTTCTTCTCCAAACTAATGTGAGCGAAAAGTAATTGTATGTGAAGCTGGTACTGGTGAGCATGGTATTTTGAATCAAAACATCAATACAGTGTTTTCCTTCTTTAGATATGTCAAAGGTTCAAGATGATGAAGTTGGTGATGGAACTACATCTGTCACAGTGTTGGCAGCTGAATTACTGAGGGTAATGTATTACGGTTTTTGTGTTTCTATTTGGCAGTGTACTCCTGTGATATCAATAGGCGGTGTATTATTTGATGTTTATAGAGGGGGCTCCCAAAGTATAGGAATACCTTGCTCCGTTGCAATTGGTAGGAAAAAAACCCCTTACATATCACGTCATCATTTTATTTTTTTTTTTTTAAATTTTAGACTGTATTACTTATTTTATTATTTATATATTCACAAGTATTTTAATTTGGTACATTTTAGAAAATTATTTCTTCTGATTTCATTATGCAAGTGAAACAGAGAAGCGTCACTCTCATAGGTCTCTTCCTGGATGTTGCACTGGGCAGCATGCAGCACTGCTTAGTTGCGAGGCTCAATCCTCTGAAATCCTTTTCCATAACATTAATGAAAAAAAAAAAGGCATGTTAAATTCTGTTCTTGTGTGCACAAGACCTGAATTCATACTGTTCCTTTAAACTCTGCATGGCTTTTATGTTTATATAAAAGTTTACACTGCCAAACTAAATCTGAATAACTGTGAAAGAGGTGAAGTGAGGAATTCTTGTTAGCAGAGCTGTGCCAGTAAATCTAATCATCTCAGATCCAGGAACTGTGATCAAGAGCATCTGAGAAATGATCCATCAGCTTGCCAAGTTCCTCACGAAAAGGGAGTTTGAAGTTGTATTTTTTTCCAACTACACTTTTAAGTTGCAGCTATAAATGAACAGGAAACTGATCTCAAACATGAAGTGAAAGATTGCTATTTTGAAGTATATGTCTGATTGCTATTCATATTGGAGTTAGGATTTTTTTTTCATTAATCAAAATTTCTTGATGATATTCCAAGGGCAGATCCATTTGCCTAGATTGGAAAAAACCTGCCAATAGGGTGACTTTAATTTCATTGTTATAGCTCTCTGGCTTTTACTGCTATTCAGAATTTTCTGATTACTTGGAAGTGTTTTTCCTAGTTAGTATAAATGTACCTTGGGGGAAAAAGCTAATTATTAATTTCATTTAAATAGGAGGCAGAATTACTGATTTCAAAGAAGATTCATCCTCAGACCATCATTGCAGGCTGGAGAGCAGCCACAAAAGCTTCAAGAGAGGCACTTTCGAAAGCGGCAGTGGATCATGGGTTAGTAATGTATAATTGCTGTAACTTTATAAACCAATCAAGATTAAAACATCAGTGAGAATTACTGAGAAATTCTTTGCTCTCTTTTAAGTAGTGTAAAGGCTGAATTCATTAATTTTAACAGTAAAAAAAAAAAAAAGACTGCTTTCTTTTTTAGATGAACTACAGAAGCTTTATGAAATTATTTAAAATGACTTATGATGTGCAGAAACAAAATACAAGCAATAATTTGCTCCCTAGAACAAAAATCTGAGCTGTTATTTCAGATTTCGTACTCTGATTCTAAATGTGACTATTTTCTTTACCCGACACTTTGAGAGCACAGACTTTCTAAAGCTGAATGCAAAAGTTCCCCTAATTGAACTTGTATTTCAAATAGAAGGTTGTGTTTTGGGACATTGGAGGGATTCTGTGTAGCATTCCTCAAAACGGAATATGGTACACATAGATGCAGGATAGAAGAAGCAGGGATAGACTCAGAGTGGTAGGTTGACGGTAGTTAAGGCTTTCAAACTTTGCACTTTAACTGTACTGACTTTATTTTAGTGATGATGAAGTGAAGTTCCGTGAAGACTTGATGAACATTGCTGGAACGACTCTTTCGTCAAAATTACTTACTCATCATAAAGATCACTTTGTCAAGCTAGCTGTAGAAGCTGTTCTTAGGTTGAAAGGTTCTGGTAATTTGGAGGCTATCCACGTCATTAAGAAACTTGGTGGAAGTTTGGCTGATTCCTACTTAGATGAAGGTAAGTCTTTGTATGTTGGCTGTAAGTGCGCTTAAGAAATGAAGCTGTTAAAAATTACACATCTCTATACAAATTTGTTCTAAGAAACATTGCTATGTTATTATTGAATAATAAATATGAGGGGGTTTTGTAATAATTTAAATGAATTGTTCTCCTTTTTTAATTTGAAGTCTTACAAGACGTTTCTGTTACTACAGGCTTTTTACTTGACAAGAAGATTGGTGTAAATCAGCCAAAAAGAATTGAAAATGCAAAGATTCTTATTGCAAATACTGGTATGGATACAGACAAGATTAAGGTATGTTACAGAACTACTGCTGTAAAAACATTGTTTTTGTAAATGGAATTAATTTTTAGATTGAACTCTGTTTTCTTCGATTTAGATTTTTGGCTCTCGTGTTAGAGTGGATTCTACAGCAAAAGTTGCAGAAATAGAACAGGCAGAAAAAGAGAAAATGAAGGAGAAGGTAGAGCGTATTCTTAAGCATGGAATAAACTGCTTTATTAACAGGTATGTGTTTTCTTGGAAAAAGGGGAGAGGTACAAAGTACCAAGATTTTAATATTGTATGAGTGTGAAGAATATTATTTATGCCTGTATCTGTAAAATTGGGTGATCTTGCCTAATGCTTAATTGATTCACCTCACTGAGGGTGATGTTATTTTCTGTGCTTCACCTCGTGCACCATGGCCCCTCTTTTTTTTTTTTTTTTTTTTGCTTTAAAGAGGAAGAACTGATGTTATTTAATCAGGGATCCATGTTTAAGTCCAGTTTGAGTGATGTCACTATGCTTTTGTACTAACAGATTTATTTAGTTACGAATACCAGCAGCATTGTCCACATCCATATTCCCCCTTTTGGGGGGAAATTGGTGCTGAAAGAGTTTGTGCTGCTGAATGCATTTAGTTCAGATTGAACCAGCTATGTTTTATCCTGCATTAAAATGCTGGTGCTGGAGTACTGTTCCAAATTCAAGAGTGTTTCGGAGGCCTCTCTGCTCCCTGCCATGAGCCTTTTATACACATCTTTGAAAGTATGAAAGATAACCATTTTCATGTGATGATTCATTCAGCTCATAACAAATACGATGAAACGGTATTTTTCTTAGCAGTGAACTTCTCTTTTTAACTGTCACAGTGCAAAAAAAGCATTCAGTTATTTAGCGATACAAGAAATGCTTCTGCCCTTCAGTAATTCTCATTTGGGTGCAACTGCCATACGTACAAGCAGCTTGACACCTGGTGTTTTAGCTTATCGTGTGGTCTACTAGGAAGCTGATTAGCTAGTACTACACCAAAGGATGGGAGTTGTAAGAGCAGCAGTGTTTTCCACAATAGCAAAGATTTACTCTTTCAGGACATAGTGCATCTTATAGCTCACCTTCAAAATTTTTGTTAAACATCTGTAAGAACCACTGACAGACTGATGAATCTCGTAGTCTCTCCATCTATGTCATGTTTCACATACATTGTGTGCAAGTGTAGGCAAAATGAGTATTCCGTCCAGTGGTACAAATACAAAGACTCCTCGAGTCAGGAGTCCTGCTGGCAAACTGGTGGAAGAATCCTTTGAGGTATGAAAAAAAAATCCTTAACCCCATCGCTGTTATCCAGTGTGCTTGTAACACAGGTAGTTGCCCTAAGGAAGCTCAGGTAGCAGTCAGTCACAGTAGCCAGGCTAGTGGTATTCCAGTTAGATTGACTCTTGACATTCAGATTTATTCCCTGACAAAATTTACTTCTGCTTATGGGCATACTGTAGATCTACTTCACATCTGATACCATAAATGTCAGCCAGTTAAATACCTCTGAGGAGATGCTTGACAAAAGTCAAGGCTATTTGGAAGAATCTTCTCTGCGCATACACAGCAGCGCCAATTGTCTCTTTTGAAGATAGATTAGAAACATCTTTTTTGACAGAGATGGCATCTCCAAAAAAAATACAATGCTCAGGCTCTAATGTGGAAGGGAAAAATAATTTGGCATAGCACCGCTGAATGGTCGTTGACCATTCAGCTTTAAATGACTACTTAATTCTAGAGAGAGTGGGATACATGCTAATAAGGGAGCATATACTCCTCTCTGTGGTCTGCTATTTGTATATGTTACAAGACTGGCCATTTATTGTTCCCTTAGAGTTGTCTACTGTTTGGATTTTGTATTGGTGAAGGAATTAAAGACATTACTTCACATGTTATTCTAGTGCACTCTGCTAGAATAGGCAGTTAAGTGCCCAACAGGTACTTAGGATCAAAAGACTTAGAATTTAAAGCTTGTGGGCCCCTGTGCATTGATAGTGTGTCTTCAGGGGAAGGGTATTTCAAAGAGCTATAATACTCAGAAATTTTTTTTTTTTTTGTTTAGCTTTTTACGTTTTCCTGTCACTGCATTTGCTTCTGTGTGTTGTAACATTCGGTGTGTGGCAGATGCCTTGTATATTGACTGCTTTTGTAGCTTTCAGAAATCTGTCTGTGTCCATGCTACTGAGAATCAGGTATCCTTTGTTAGTCTGGTGTTTAAAAGGTTTGTTCCAATTTGTAATGAGAAGATGTGCCTGTGTTTTAATTGCAGGCAGTTGATCTACAACTACCCTGAACAGCTCTTTGGAGCTGCTGGCGTCATGGCTATTGAACACGCAGACTTTGCTGGTGTAGAACGTCTGGCTCTTGTTACAGGTACACAGAGTACCTGGTCATATGAAATTTGGAGGGTCGCATTATTTGTTTGATCTTTAGTAAATGTTAATGCTTGATCACCTCGTTTTTACTTTTTACTGTTAAGCAGATCTGTGAATGTGAAAAGTATTCCAAATAAGCTTTATTTTACAGTACTTAAATATAAACGTATATGGAGGACCCTATGAAATTGGCCATAAGAAACTTTGAAGTTACTTTGTTGATTTATCAACTGCTATATAACTGTCGGTATTTTTTCAGAAGCAGGTAACTCAGTTTCTTTAGTATGTTATACTTCACATGTAAAATGTCTGTTTTGATTCTGAATCCTCCCTGCATAATGATTTAAACATACGGGTTTTTTTCTCTAGTAACTGCGAATAAAGGATCATAATGCTGACTCTGGAATATAATTTAGCCAGTTAGTGCCAGTTAGTAATTTTCTTTCATATTTAAAAAATATTTTTAGTTAAGTCCGTGCTTGATAAACTTTTGAAATGTTTGTTTTCTAGGGAAAAGATGAAACTTAGTGATAGAGTAAGATGATAAATCCACAATTAATTAATACCATCTTGTTATAAGTGGCTGTTGTTTGATTGTAGTAACAGAAAAGACTAGAGAGTCATTCTTTGTTAAAAATGTGGGCCTGAGTCATCATCTTGAGGTGGACCTCAAATGACACGAACAACCTGGATATTTTTAGTAGTGGTTAGTGTAAATGTGACTCTAGTGACTAATGAAAATGAAACTTCTGGAATGCTACAGATGATTCTCATTGCCTAAGTTAGAGGTAGTTAACTGGAACATCATAAAAAACTGAAAGTGATCAAGAGAACGGATAACTTGCTTTGCTGGGAGAAGGGAAAAGATACTGATTTGTTTAGCTTAGCAAAACTGAAGTAGCAATTGTGTGTAACTGTCTGTAGACACATTGACACAGGCAAACACTTGATCGAGAGGAACATTGCTTATGTTCTGGAACAAATTCAAAGCAAATTTTGTAGGCAGAGCAAGTGGACCATATCAGACCACACTGGATCAAATAGTATCACTGAAAAAAATGGACAAGCTTTTAGTAAGCACAAACTCTCTACTACAAATCTTGTCTTTCCTTGTACTGCTACAACTACAGCAACGCTGCAAGCTAATGTGGAATAACTGAGCACACATTGGGAGTGAATACATGTGAAGAGCAAAGTACTAAAGCAATATTCCATTCAGAGACATTTTGGTCTTAGTAGTACCCGTTTTGTTTATGATATGGGAGTTTACGAATGGTGCACTGTATCAGTGGTACAACATGGCATGAGACTCATGATTCAGCAGAGTGGTGGTCAGTGGTTCTTAGCCATCGTCAGGCAGGCAAAATGAACGCTGGCACAAGCTCAAGTTTAAAAACATAATGAACTTGATTTAGTATTTTTTAAATACTTCGTCAGTAAATATTACTAAAACTTTAAACAGATTGACATTTTAATACTGGCAAATATCAACATTTAGTCTCTAATCCAGACAGAACTCAAAAGCATTACAGCTATTTTAGTTCTTGTGATGTGAAACAAAATATTGGTGTTTTAAGGACTTGTCATCATGAGTAGAAGGTTTCTGGTGCCATATGCTGACATTGGAAAAATTTGGCATATCAGTATTGTTAATTTCAATTTATTTTTGGGCAATTAGTAAGATGTTTTTTTTTTTTTTCATATATTTTTTTTTTCCCCTGTTGGTTAGACCTTGCCTGAATGGATGCTTTTATCATGAGCTCTTTGACTGTTGTATGATGTTACATTTGTAGGTGGTGAAATTGCATCAACTTTTGATCACCCTGAGCTAGTAAAACTAGGAAGCTGCAAGCTTATTGAAGAAGTCATGATTGGAGAAGATAAACTCATTCATTTCTCTGGAGTGGCAATGGGTAAATGTTTTACCACTAATGGCATGTTGTAACGTTTGTGTTAACCCTCTGCTAACACTGTTCAGTTACTAGGATGGCATAGGAATTTTGTAATGATTCATGTAACCATTTTTATTAAAGCCTTGCTCTTCAATAAAAATACTGCAAAGATGTATTTTCATGGTTGAAATTGTTCATCTACATAACATTAAACATATGCATAAATGTTTGTAAGGACAGGAGCCAAAATTTCTGCTTTGGAAGATTAAATTGACAAGAAAAATAGCAACCTGTCATACTTCAAGAACTTGAGAGCTTGTTCTGTAAATGCCAATACTGTAAGTTTCCGAGGGGTTGTTTTGAGATAACACTAATTTTCTGTTAAATTAAATAAGGTGTTGTGGAACAGTTAATTGATGAAAGCAATAGCATAGTGTACATCATTTCATTCTACCTGTGAAATGTCAACGTGCTTTCTTTTTGCCCCAAAATTGATCTATGTAAAACTTGACTGCAGTGATAGCAAAACCATTACAAATGCTTTGCGATAGCCTCTTTTTGTGTCTTTGGTTTATTTTTTTGATCTTTTCACATTTGCACTTTTTAGGTGAAGCTTGCACCATAGTTTTGCGTGGAGCAACACAGCAGATTCTAGATGAAGCAGAGAGGTCTTTGCATGATGCTCTCTGTGTTCTTGCCCAGACTGTGAAGGACACTAGAACTGTGTACGGTGGAGGTGAATATTAGATTCTTTGTGCTTTGTACATGATACACATTTCGTATTACTGTTCAAGTCAGTTATAAAACATCTGTGTGTCTTCAATGAATAGGTTGTTCAGAGATGCTGATGGCTAACGCTGTTGCAGAACTTGCCAGAAGAACACCTGGCAAAGAGTCTGTTGCAATGGAGTCCTTTGCTAAGGCTTTACGAATGGTAAGCTTGTTTAATCAGATTGCTGGATTAATAGATGTAAAGTTTCACTAAGTTTACTAACTTCCGACATCAGATAGTTGCTTTTCTTTCAAAGTTTTGGTTTTCTAAAAGTAAAAAAGTGAAATTTAGCAACATATCTTGGAGGAAGAAAGGGGAAAATGTTACTGTTTTCTCTCTTAGAAAAAAAAGTATTAGTGTTTTAATAATTCTGCATGTTATAGAATGCTGAATGTTCATATGCTAGCCCTCTTCTAATTGGTTCTTGCTCCTCTTACCTGCAAGGTTAAAAGTGCAGCAGAAATAGCACACAAAAATCTTGGCTGATTCACTTGACGATTGATTTAGAAAAGAGCAACCCTTCTGTTCTGTTGATACTCTAGCGTTATTTGATTGTATTCGTGCTCTAGTATTGTCTAGAAGTCTCTAGACTTGCATTGGAGATTGCATCTCAGTAGGAAATAAGAATATCACAAGAAACATTTATAGAATATTATTGTGCTGACAGACTGTCAATTTGAGAAAAATTGCCTTCCTGTATATTAGGGAAAACCTTTCTTAAGAAATGAAAAAACATAGGAAAACATTTCTCCCAAGAAAATGAAATTAAAAAGCATGGTAAGACTTGGCATTACCTCTTCAGAAATAGTCTTTGTATCAGAAATAGTGTGGCCAGCAGGAGTAGGGAAGTGATCATCCCCCTGTACTCGGCACTGGTGAGTCCGCATCTCGAACACTGTGTTCAGTTTTGGGCCCCTCACTACAAGAAGGACTTTGAGGTGCTGGAGCGTGTCCAGAGAAGGGCAACGAAGCTGGTGAAGGGTCTAGAGAACAAGTCTTCTGAGGAGCGGCTGAGGGAACTGGGGCTGTTTAGCCTGGAGAAGAGGAGGCTGAGGGGAGACCTCATCGCGCTCTACAACTACCTGAAAGGAGGTTGTAGCGAGGTGGAGGTTGGTCTCTTCTGCCAAGTAACTAGCGATAGGACGAGAGGAAATGGCCTCAAGTTTCGCCAAGGGAGGTTTAGATTGGACATGAGGAAAAATGTTTTCACCGGAAGGGTTGTCAATGCTTGGAAGAGGCTGCCCAGGGAAGTGGTGGAGTCACCATCCACCTGAAGTATTTGAGAGACGAGTAGATGTGCTTAGGGACATGGTTTAGTGGTGGACTTGGCAGCGTTAGGTTAACAGTTGGACTCGATGATCTTAAAGGTCTTTTCCAACCTAAATGATTCTGTGATTCTGTCAGCACATGCAATTTACACTGCTGTCACTTAAGCAGTGAACAGAATGATCTGGTGGTTAATGCTTACCAGCAAGCTTACGTTCTTAAAATGAAACCATTTCTCCAGTTGTAGTCTGATATGATAACAAAGAGACAGATTTCTTTCTGTCCATGTAAAATGAAGTGACAAATCTGCTAATGAGCTTCTGTCCTCTCATCTACTGTCTTAACAAGGTCTTAAACAAAATCCTTCAAAAGGTGGTTGATTTCACCCCCCTGCCCCCAAACTTCTGATCACTGTAACAGATCATCTGCCTCGTTTTTGAAACTTCCTCTTCTTGAAACTTAATAGTAAACTAGTAATACCAAAGTGTTTTTCATGTTTACTAGGGATCAATCCCTGCATTAATTGAAAACAATCTGTGTTTATCCCCTTAGATCCCAACAATAATTGCTGATAATGCTGGCTATGACAGTGCAGATTTGGTTGCTCAGCTCAGAGCTGCTCACAGTGAAGGGAAGACTACTTACGGACTTGGTAAGGGGCTTCAGATTACTTTTGTTATTGGATTGGTGGTGGGAGGGGGATTAGGCTTATTAAACTTGGTCACATCTGTTTGTCACTGATGTATTCAGCTGGAAGAACTGAATACATTGATTTCTGTTTGCGTAGAGTGTAGGCATACAATGTTACATTCCTCTATCATTCTACCAGGCTTCTCACAATAGAGTGAAAAGCTTTGTTTTTGAAGGGGATGGTTTCCACCTGTAAAACCACTTTCCTTACTTACATTGAGTCTAGTTATATGAAGCTTAAAAAGAAAGGCACTGATTTAAAAAGAAACAAAGAACCAACACAGCCCAATCCCTTCCCCCCCATCTTAAAAAAAAAAGTTTTTGATAAGAATTCTGAGGTTGATATACTAAGGAAATAGTGCTGAGAGAACCGTTGGAATCTTGTCTCCTTTTCCCAGTGTATAAATTTTTCATCATTAATTTTTTTCATGTAATTGCAACATGTTAGGCTTAAATCAGGAGACTTGAAGTGAAAGACTTTATTTAATACTGACCTTATTATCAATATGGTTCATCTGAGCAGGTAAGTTACCATATAGTCAGCTTCTTGTAATTTCCTTTTAAAAAAAAAAAAAAGTTTTAAAAAACCCAACCCAAACAAACTTTTAATGTGTCTCTTCTTGTAGATATGAAAGAGGGTACCATTGGAGACATGGCAGTCTTGGGAGTAACAGAAAGTTTCCAAGTCAAGAGACAAGTTTTGCTGAGCGCAGCTGAAGCAGCAGAAATGATTCTTCGTGTAGATGACATTATTAAAGCAGCACCGAGGTATGATTAGAGTATCTACGTTGGTCAGTTAAAATGGTATAGAGTAATCTTCTACACAGAGTAACTGTGTAGAGAAGTCTTGTTCTAAAAAATATTTTATTTGACATGAAGACTGACATCTGACATGCTAACCTTCATGTTAGATGATTTTTTTGCATTAGCAGTATGAACAGGCCTTTAGAGCCATCAGTGCGCTTAAATTAGTATGCCTGAGCAATGCCTAGTTAATCTTGGGTCACCAGCAACTCATGTGCCATATATAGTACTAAAACATCTGCAAAAGTGGCTGACCAAAATGTAAGGGATCATGCTGCTTTTTTTTCTTTTGGGAAAAACTGTACTTAAATGAGCAGCTGCTTCTGAAGTGGAATCGGTAGTTAAAACAAAACCACATTTGTTAAAAAGTTTGTGAAGAAGTTCCACTTGTAAGCGGGCTTGCGTGGGATAAACCTGCTGCCAGGTAGTTTGCACTGTTTTGTGAATCACAGGTTTTGACTGCGGTCAAAGGTGGTGTATTAGCTTTGAGGTGATGCTGCCTTCTGTGCTGTGAGATAAAGCTAGCACTGAACTGAAATATCAACTGAAAATTAAAAAGAAGTGTGGGTGGGGAGGCTGGTGAACATCAGTGTCAGGGAGAATTTTCTGATTTTTTTCTTTCTCTCCCCAGAAAACGCGTACCAGACCATCGCCCATGTTAAATTTTCCGTAGTAGCTGAGGATACGTGGACCAGACCTCACCTAGTAATTTTTTTATGATCTAATTTTCATGAGGTTATGGAACAGAAGCTTGAGACGAGCATTTTGTAAGGTTATGGAATGGAAGCTTGAGATGAGCATCTCCATCAATGGCATGAAATCACTGTCTTCAGTTGGTTTTAACTTATTTCAGTTTATATGTGTTGTGGGGAAGATTCAAGTAAAACAGGGGTTTTATGCAACCCTATTCCTTCTGTTCCTCTCCAGGTTCCACTTCAAATACACAGAAATAAAAAAAAGAAATTCAATCCATCAAGGTTGTATTTGTCTTTGTGTAGAACCAAGAAGGGCAGTTTCATTAGAAAAGCAGCAGTGCACATCCTCAGTCCTCAGCTGCTTCGAGCGGTGACCAGGCATTCAGCGCTGAGGATAACCTCCCACGCCTTTGTAGCTTGCTGGTGGGGTTCACTTGGTGCATTTAATGTGAGCGGTTTATTCCAGTCCTGGCTGTGTAGGTTTTAAGTTGGGATCCTAGAAATAGGCTCTGAAGTTAAATGTTACCCTTTTCTAGTGATGCTGGAGTATTAGGCATTTTTTGATGATGAAAGAAAGAGAGAAAAAGCTGAAGAGGAACCTTGGTCAATGCCCAGAACTACAACTTAAGGGATTTTACAGTTTTTTACACCACAAATTTTATATAGGTAGGAGTTCTGCTGAGGGGCGTTGAGAGGAAGATGCAGTCTGGGAGAGATACCAGACCAAACGGTCTGTGTGTTTGACTATAAAGTGCTGGACTCGGGCTGACTTTACAAACACCTATTACTGTAATAGAGGACAGTTAGTGGAAAATGTGCCAGGCTGCATTGCATGCCCATTTTCTTTTCCCCCTTTCATGTCTATTGTGGCTTAACTTTATATGCTCTTTCCTATTCCGCTAGTTGCTGCAAAGGCAACGTGTTTCTTAATTGCACTAGTTTATGCTCAGGTCGTAAGGAAGCCTGTGATGCCTGCTGCAGTCTTCATGCAGATTCTTGACGACTGTAAGCAGAGACGAGCGGAGGTGCCCCGTCTGCGTGGGAGCCCGCTGAGAGGTGCCAGCTGGGCCTTGTGGCCCTTCTGGCCCTTGCAAGTGTAGTGCAGCGCCTCGGCGAACACCAGGGGAAGTCTGGAAATCAAGAAAGTATCTCTGCAAACATTTTTCTGCCTTAGGTTTCCTGAAATGAAGAGAGTGGTTACAGAACGCTCCTCCAAACTCTCAAAACAGGCTCTCCTCAGATCTCCAAAAGTGACAATACTGGGTAGAGTGTGCTGCGTTAAATACAAACCATTGATAAGCAGGTGAAAGCACCTTCTTCCCCACCCCCCACGTAAAAAAGTTCCATAGGAAATAAAACATTGAACTTGGATGTTAGAAAAGCCCCAAACTTTTGTCCTGTTTTTGTTTTGTAGGAAAAAATACTTTGTTGGAACAAGGTTAGATAAAGAATTTGGAACGAGAATTCAGTTAATTCCAAAGAAGGATTGTTTAATTCAGCAAGATGCTAGTACACTTTATTTCATTTAATGAATAGTAAGCACGCTACATGGGTGCCAGCCAGATCCAAATTCAGACTTCATTTAACAAGACAGCAAGTGCTAGCAGAGTCTATGTGTTTCCAGATAATTTTTCAAGCATGTAAATGACATTAAGCAGTCACGAACTGGCATTGAATCAAACCTTTTCTGGGAAGTCAGCTGCCGCTTCTGCAGGCTGCGCTGGGGAGACAGTTCCACTGATGAGTGAGGCAGAGGGAAGCGGCTGTTCTGCGCCACCAAGGGCTCCCCACCCTTTTAAGAAAAGCTGTCTTTTACCAAACTCAGTGATCCGTGCTATGCAGTCAAAAGCAAAAAACGTCATTTTGAGCCAGATTTCTTTTCTGTGTTACACTATTAAAGCAAAACATACTTAAAAAGAGTTCAGTGTGTTTCCAAGGGAATCCGAACCGGTCCGAGTTGCAAGCTGGAGAAAAACCCAGCTGAAGTCAACTGAGGAAAAGTTTGCCTCAGCTTCTGTGCAAGCCTGTAGTGGCAGGCTCCCAGCCCTGGCTTTTATTCATGCAAGTTTACCTTCGCAGCTCTCGTGGGTTTTCCGTTGTAGTCAGGCTTTGATTTTCTTCTTTGCTACTGCATGAAAACTCAGCATGTACAGCTGCCCTTACAGGCAGCGTTGTGAGTAGCATAAAAACTAGCAGCAAAGCCTCTAGCTTTCCTCACCACCATTTAAAATGCTGCTTGGCAATAACAGAACAAGAGTGGTCGCACATTTTCCAGGAAGAAGGCGGCAGTGGTAAGAGCATGCGCTGGTACGTACACGCTGTTTCCTTGATAGCGCAGCCAGGGCTCCACTACTGCTTCCCACGCAGCAGGCAGAGAAACCTTCAAGCTGTTGCTGTCGCTGCGTTTCAGGTAAGTCATTTGAGACAAATGCTGTGGGTTACTTCAGAGCTGTGACTCCCAGCAGCGATCACCTTGAACAGTGGCTTCCAGCTGAGCTCGGACACCGCAGCAAGGTGGAAGGGCGAAGAGTGAGCCCATGGGCTTCCCACGGGTGAAGAGCAGCGAGTCCATACGTGCTCTGTACAATCCACCCATGGAAAACATCTAAACCGTGTCTTCATCTCTACTGCGAACTCTGAGTGGTCCCTGCGTGGGAGGAGGGGGAAAGGGAGGAAGTCTTTGCTCTAGGGAGAGTGCTGGGTGCTGTGCAAAAGGGGGTGTCTGCGCAAAGGAGAGTTTTGCTGTCACCTGGGTCCAAACAGGTGCACCTACTCCTGAAGACGAGCCGGGGGGATGGTGCTCTCTGGACACCAGCAAGCGAGGGAGAGGTAGAGGTTGGGTGGCGTTGTGAGTGCACTGTGCCTTTGCCGGCATGGGCGGCTGAGCGTCAGCAGGGCTCTGCTTCTGGCTCGGGCTTGGTGGCAAGAGGTGGTGATGGTTTCTCATCAAGCGTGATTTCTATCACTGCCCCGGACCGCTTGCGGGGTTCGGGGGTCTCCTCTGACCATCTCCCCACCCTGCGCACCCCTTTGGCCACCTTGGGTGCGTTCCTGCAGGGGTTGTGGTCATAGATCACCAGCTTCAGGCCGGGGAGGTGAGCCAGGCTGGGGAAGAACCGGATGGAATTGCGATCCACGTCGATCAGTTCCAGAAAAGGCATGTCCAGGAGCACAGGGGGGAACTCGGACAGCAGGTTGCCTGAGAGCCAGATGGTGCGCAGCTCCTGCAGGCACCGCAGCGGGGCGGGGAGCGTGCGCAGCGCGTTGGAGCCAGCGTGCAGGGTCTTGAGCAGGCTGAGCTCGCACACCACCTCGGGCAGGCACTGCAAGCAGTTGGACTCGATCCAGAGGGTCTTGAGGTTCTGCAGGAGCCGGAGCTCAAGGGGCAGGCTGCAGAGCTTGTTGTTGCCCAGGTAGAGGATGCACAGCTGCTTCAGCGTGCACACGACCAGGGGCAGCGCTTTGAAGTTGTTGAAGTCCAGTGCCAGGATCTGCAGGTTTTGCAGCTGCTCCAGCTCGGGGGGCAGATGGTTCAGGTTGTTGTCACTGAGGTACAGCTTGACCAGTTCCCTGAAAGAGCAAATGTGCAGAGGCAGCCGCCGCAGCTGCCTGCCACTCAGATCCACCATTTTATCCACCGGCATCTCTTCTAGGTCTTCCAGGAGGTGCTTCTGGCACTCGTGGGAGGGCACAAAAGCAGCTATGGCTTTCAGACTGTTGCCCATCCCGGGACTTTGTTTGGGGACTGCCGGGACTGCAAGGGACAGGGGCCCGCCTTGGTCTTCTCCTGCTGTGCACTGGCCTGCCGGTAACTCCGTCTTCCCAATATAAGGCTCTGTTTATGTGGCACCAGCCATTAATCTCAAGGGCTCTGAAATGTTTCTGATAACCGAATGAGTGTTTGGTGACGGGGATTACGGACAGGACGACTTAGAGCGCAGGTCTCCCTCTCTCGCCCACACTCCCACTTGCTCCCCCGCAGAAACATTCCTTCTTGTCCATTCCTGCACACTATAGATGTTCTCCGATTTTGCCCCAAACCGTCACCCCGATGGCCCAGCCCCTCACCTCTCGCTCCGGCTGTGCTGTCTGTGCAGCTGGTGCTGGCTGTGGGCATTGGCTTGGGAAAGTAAACACCACAGAAGACCAAATTTTTAAACTCAGATGTTTAGCTTTCATGAAACTTTCAGCAGAAAAGTCGGATGTAATCAAATGGTTGTTTAAAATACCTGTCAAGACTTGACTGACTTTCCAGACAAGAGACACTTTTAGGGGTTTACTTTGCAAGGTGCCAAATACATAATTTCAGAGTGTAACTTGCCACCCGGTACTTACCTTAAACCTTTAACACAAATACTTGGCAAACTGCTATCTTGAGCTGTTCTGCTATTTATGTTCCTAATTTAACGGTGTTTACTATAGCCTCTGGCACTCTTGACTGTGTAGGGCCTTTTTCATTACATTATGTTTTGCTTCTTGTCTGAATTCCCATTTAATACGCTCGCTATCACAACCTGCCAAGGCTGTTCTCCAGCCGCCTTCCGACTGTGCTACTGCAGTTCCCTTGTCCGTACCAAAACCTGGCAAGAAACTGCCGTGAATTTAATTCCCTCAAGATTCTCACTTGTATGAGTGAGACAAATATGATGTTAAAAGTTTAGATGTGACAGTGTAAACTGTTCCCCTCCTTCTCTCAGCACAACCCATTGCTATTAAGGTCAGGAACACCTCTGATTTCTAGGAGGAGCCTTCCCATGTGTAGGCATCTCTGCATGCTTTGGCTTCTTGAGCTGCTGCTGTTTTAAGCTTTCTTAGGGATCGTCCCGCCCGCGTGTTGGCCACTATCTTTGGGTTTGAAAGCTGGCAGAGTGTTTTAAGGTGAAAGAGCCTTTCCAGCAGCCAGCTCTGTACTTTGATATCTACGGCTTATTGCTGTCATTTTCCACACTTACCATAATTTAGGGAGGATACTTTCTTCAAACAATCTGCAGTTGGTTTCTGGGCATTAGGTGCTACACAACCAAAATCCGTGATTGCTGAGAGCTACATATTCTTGGAAAAACAAAAGGCAGAACAAACAGAAGATTGAGAAAAAGGCACTATCAAACAGCTAAGGTGGCCTCTGGATCTCTGGTCAAATCTGGTAATACAGACTTGTATTACCATCACTTGCTTTCAGATGTAAAGCAGCTCTTAGCTATCAATTGTGTATAGGCTACAGAATGTTTACTAGTCTTTTCCCTGCGAGATGAGTGGCTGTGGCATGCAGCAATGATGGTATGAAGGACGTATGGAAGGTTTCCTGAGGGAGGAGAACAGCAGAGAGGGCATCTGGGGACCAGTATTGCAGCGGGATGGAGAGCAGCAAGTGCTGCGACCTGAGTGCCATAGAATAGGTTTTGGATGGAGAAGCCGGGCAGAATATCAAGCCTGGAGAGCAAAGACACGTCGCAGTCATCTGTGGCCGTGCTGTGGAAGAGAGGCGCTGAAAACACTCTCTCTCACGACAGAAGGCGGGACGTGCTGGGCGCAGCAGGCCAGCAGCGAGAGCTGGTTCGCCCTGAATGAGCATCTCAGAGTAGCCACTTCTTTACTGCTTGTACACTGCACGCCCTGTCAGAGGACTGCCGTGGGGAACAGGTCATTCCTGGATTTTGCAGGGCATCCTTTTCCAAGCAGTTGCCCTGGAATGAGATCTGACTTTTAAGAAAAATATTCCCCTGGCCCTCAGCAGGTTTTTGTATTTGTTTCCATTTCTAAGCATCTGCGGCACCTTCTAAAGGCAAGGCTCCCCGCCGTGTTGCGACACTGTATGCTTCAGGTGTGGAAAAGCAAATGCATTTGGTGTAAATAATAATGAATTTACATCCATGACAAAGACATGTCCCTTAGACAAATCCCTTCAGATATCCTGCTGATCAGAACAACATAAAAGCCTGAGTAAGAATATATTAATAATACAGTTGAGGCACATTTTTCTTTATAATCTATATGGAGAGAAATAACTTTGCAATATACCTTATGTCTATAAACACATATACACATTTATTTTTTCTACTTGAATTATTTCTTCTTAACGAAACTTTTAAGCTGCAGACAACTATTTCTTAGGGATCCTCTGCACTGTAGTTTAATCATTATTCCAGCTTATCAAAAAAAGTCACAATGACCTCTTGTTGCTGCATTTTTTTCTTCTCTTGGCTAAATGAATGTCTGCTTGGAACATGCTGTGAGATCAGAGTATTTGGGCAAAAAATAACCTTTGTGTGGTGGGATAATAAAGGGCTACACTTGCAATAAAATGAACAATCTTGGTCCTTCTGAGAATGAATGACTCAGTGGAGGCTCTAAGGCAAAGGCAGCCTCCTCAGTAGACATAGGGGTGGTGTTTTGAAAGCCACTTCACATCTTCAAAGATATCCTGATGCCCTCCAACATGAGCATTCATGACTTCCCAGAAGCATTTGTGGCATTTGAGGAAAAGCTCAAGCGATAAAGGCGCTCAGCACAGACATCGTCTTGCTCTTGTCAAAGCGACACTGCCCTACCAGAGGGCATGACATCTGCTCTGCTGCGTGCCAAGTGGTGCGCGTAGGCTCCTTGAGAAATGCCTTTGCTTTCTGAAAGTTCACAAACGACCACAGCTATTGCTCACCGTTTGCATTTCCAGCTCCCAGCTCCTGCAGCTCGGTGGCTGGGACGGCTGAAGGCCGGAAAGCGTGGTTGCTTGCTGAGAACATGTGTAAAACCTCCGAGTCCAGAAGAAACAGGGAACACTGCTCACAGCTAGACAATTTAAAAATATAAAAGCTATGTTTTATTATTCCTGCATTTTTTAATCTTTTTTTTTAAAATAAAACATTAGAATAGAGATACTGGTGCTTTTTCAGACCCAAAGCTCTGCACAAGGCTGTGTGATGACACCAGGCTCAGCCTTTGCTGAGAGCAGGTTGTGTAACCCTCACGATTTTGGAGGTAAGTTTGAAAAAGCAAACTATGTATTTCAAAACCCAGGGGATTAATGAAGAGAGCTCTAAAATCGTTGATTTTAAGCCTCTCATGCCCCTCCTCAATCAGCCTGACATAGCAAGGAGGAGGCTTAAGGAATAGTTTTTAAGAATGTCTTTAGCATGTGCTCCTAATGATTTGCTTTACATTTATTTAAAGCCTGTGACAGGCATTTAGACCCCTTCTTCACTCACAAATGCCATGTGTTTGGTTTTTTCTGCTGTTGTTTCTTGACTGGAGCATTGCCACTAGAGCAGATGATGGAGTCCTGCCTCCTCCGTGTTCTTGACATCCATTCTTTGCTACACACTGTCACACATCTGCTCTCTTTCGGAGGGGTTACTTAGTTCCAGTTCACTTTCACGTGATGAGCAGTCTATTTTAAACAAGTGATGTATTGCAGGGGAATAATCATTATTGTTCTTTTCCCAGCATCCTAGCATAGTCTTTTGAACAAAAATGGCTGATTATTCAAATTTAGCTTTAATGTATGCTAGGCTGCAGTATGTAATTGCTCACCGTGCTTTCTTGTGCAGAAGAAAGATTCAAAGTGTCTCGTAAGTAAATCGCAGCCTCAGTGCTGAGCTTCCTCCCAGACAGCTAATGCGTTTGGGGTTGCTCTCTGTCAGATCAGAGTCTTTTTTTGACACCATTATTTTTCTGCCAGCTTGACTTGAACCTAAGTGTCAGGCAGGGGTGGGAACCGCTAACCTCAGGAAACTCGCAGGAAAATAAATCCAAGCAAGCGCTTCCAATGCTGAAATGTGTACAAAACCATTGGCTGTTTATTACTGTATGTTGTAGCCTGTCATGTTTTTTACTTCAAAGACCCATTTTTTGGGGTGGCGATCACATTTATGTTTAGACCGGAGCTCTCCCGTAAATAGGTAATTAAGCTTCTGTTGGTAGGGGATGACCTGTCACAACCCTATCAAATGTCCCTCTGCTCAGCCCTGCTGAAATGTCTCCAGGTAAAAGGGAAATGGTTATGTATTATGTCCTCTTTCTCTGCCTTGGATACTTCTGGGCCACTTGTCACTAAAGCGAGCTTGAAAAGCAGCTTACTTGGAGGGAGCCAGGCAAGTCCTTGGACTGCCTCCTCCTTCCCAGGCTAACGGGAGCCGAGCTCACCCCATTTATCATATTTATGTAAAAGACATTAAGGATTGTTAGTAAAATGTCTGTTTGGTCTAGGTGTGCCCTGGTTATCGTGTGCCTTAGTAGCTTCAGTGGACACTGATATTTGCACAATCCAGCGGTTACTCTGAGAGCAAATTAATTGGTTTTCTGCCAAAGCACTGACCTCCTGTGATTGATTGACCTGGCGAACGGCCCTCTGCTGACAACGGGGTATAAAAAAGGGACTTCTGAGTAAATGAGTGTCATTAGACTCCGAACCGCTTGGAGCCATGAGGGTGATACTGTTGGCTGTGGTTTACATCCCGTTCACCGTGGCCGTGGAACGGTAAGAAAAAGTGTCTAGCATCACTGACGCGTGTCTCAGCTGGCTTCCTGGGGTGACCCATGCCTGTTGCTACCTGAGGTCTCAAAAAAGAAACAAATTTTTAAAAAAAGAGTATGTCAGAACTCTAGAAAGGAGATCGAGTTAACTTTTGCGGGTTTATTTTATTTGCGTAGAATCCCTCTCATTCGATTCAAATCTATCAAGAAACAGCTGAAGGAAAAAGGAGAATTAGAGGAATTCTGGAGGAATCAC